TCCCCCTCCCCCAATCAAGTCCCCCTCCCTCATCAGCCCGAAGAGCAATCAGGGTTCCTTGCCCTGTGGGAAGTCCAAGGACCACCCACCTCGTTCCAGGTCTAGTTAGGTGAGCATCCAAACTGCCTAGGCTCCCACAAAGCCAGTACGTGCAGTAGAATCAAAACCCATTGCCATTGTTCTTGAGTTCTCAGCAGTCCTCATTGTCTGCTATGTTCAGCGAGTCCGGTTTTATCCCATGCTTTTTCAGACCCAGGCCAGCTGGCCTTGGTGAGTTCCCGAAAGAACAACCCCATTGTCTCAGTGTGTGGGTGCACCCTTCACGGCCCTGAGTTCCTTGCTCGTGCTCTCTCTCCTTCTGCTCCTGATTTGGACCTTGAGATTTCTGTCCAGTGCTCCCATGGGGGTCTCTGTCTCTGTTTCCTTTCATTGCCTGATGAAGGTTAATATCCAGGAGGATGACTATATGTTTTTCTTTGGGTTCACCTTCTTATTTAGCTTTTCTAGGATCATGAATTATAGGCTTAATGTCCTTTATTTATGGCTAGAAACCAATTATGAGTGAGTACATCCCATATTCCTCTTTTTGGGTCTGGCTTACCTCACTCAGGATAGTGTTTTCTATTTCCGTCCATTTGCATGCAAAATTCAAGAAGTCATTGTTTTTTACTGCTGAGTAGTACTCTGATATGTATATATTCCATACTTTCTTCATCCATTCTTCCATTGAAGGGCATCTAGGTTGTTTCCGGGTTCTGGCTATTAAAAACAATGCTGCTATGAACATAGTTGAGCAAATACTTTTGTTGTATGATAGGGCATCTCTTGGGTATATTCCCAAGAGTGGTATTGCTGGGTCCAGGGGTAGGTTGATCCCGAATTTCCTGAGAAATCGCCACACTGATTTCCAAAGTGGTTGCACAAGTTTGCATTCCCACCAGCAATGGATGAGTGTACCCCTTTCTCCACAACCTCTCCAGCAAAAGCTATCATTGGTGTTTTTTATTTTAGCCATTCTGACAGGTGTAAGATGGTATCTTAAAGTTGTCTTGATTTGCATTTCCCTGATCACTAAGGAAGTTGAGCATGACCTTAAGTGTCTTTTGGCCATTTGAACTTCTTCTGTTGAGAATTCTCTGTTCAGCTCAGTGCCCCATTTTATAGTTGGGTTGATTAGATTTTTACGGTCTAGTTTCTTGAGTTCTTTATATATTTTGGAGATCAGACCTTTGTCAGTTGCGGGATTGGTGAACATCTTCTCCCAGTCAGTGGGTTGCCTTTTTGTCTTAGTGACAGTGTCCTTTGCTTTACAGAAGCTTCTCAGTTTTAGGAGGTCCCATTTATTCAATGTTGTCCTTAATGTCTGTGCTGCTGGGGTTATACGTAGGAAGTGGTCTCCTGTGCCCATGTGTTATAGAGTACTTCTCACTTTCTCTTCTATCAGGTTCAGTGTGTTTGGACTGATATTGAGGTCTTTAATCCATTTGGACTTGAGTTTTGTGCATGGTGATAGATATGGATCTATTTTCATTCTTCTACAGATTGACATCCAGTTATGCCAGCACAATTTGTTGAAGATGCTCTCTTTTTTCCACTGTATACTTTTAGCTCCTTTATCGAAAATCAGGTGTTCATAGGTTTGTGGGTTAAAGTCCGGGTCTTCAATTCGATTCCATTGGTCGACTTCTCTGTTTTTATGCCAATACCAAGCTGTTTTCAATACTGTGGCTCTGTAATAGAGTTTGAAGTCAGGGATGGTAATGCCTCCAGGTGATCCTTTATTGTATAAGATTGTTTTGGCTATCCTGGGTTTTTTGTTTTTCCATATAAAGTTGATTATTGTCTTCTCCAGATCTGTGAAGAATTTTGATGGGGATTGCATTGAATCTATAGATTGCTTTTGGTAGAATTGTCATTTTTACTATGTTGATGCTCCCAATCCACGAGCAAGGGAGGTCTTCCATTTTCTGGTGTCCTCTTCAATTTCTTTCTTCAAAGACTTAAAGTTCTTGTCAAATAGATCTTTCACTTCCTTGGTCAGAGTTACCTCAAGATATTTTATGTTATTTGTGGCTATCATGAAAGGTGATGCTTCTCTGATTTCCCTCTCTGCTTCCTTATCCTTAGTGTATAGGAAGGCAACTGGATTTGGAGTTGATCTTCTATCCTGCCACATTACTAAAGGGGTTTATCAGCTGTAGGAGTTCTTTGGTAGAGTTTTTGGGGTCGATTATGTATACTATCATATCATCTGCAAATAATGAAAGCTTAACTTTTTCCTTTCCAATTCGAATCCACTTGATCCCCTTATGTTGTCTTATTGCTATTGCTAGAACTTCAAGCATTATATTGAAGAGGTATGGAGAGAGTGGACAGCCTTGTCGTGTTCCTGATTTTAGTGGGATGGCTTTGCATTTTTCTCCATTTAATTTAATGTTAGCTGTCGTCTTGCTGTAGATAGCTTTTATTATATTTAGGTATGACCCTTGTATCCCTAATCTCTCCAAAACCTTTATCATAAAGAGGTGTTGAATCTTGTCGAATGCTTTTTCAGCATCTAATGAAATGATCATATGGTTTTTTTCTTTCAGTTTATTTATAAGGTGGATTACATTGATAGATTTGCATATGTTGAACTAGCCCTGCATCTCTGGGATGAAGCCTACTTGATCATAATGGATAATTTTTCTAATGTGTTCTTGGATTCGGTTTGCCAGTATTTTATTGAGAATTTTTGCGTCGATGTTCATGAGTGAGATAGGCCTGTAATTCTCTTTCTTGGTTGGGTCTTTGTGTGGTTTTGGTATCTGGGTAACTGTAGCTTCATAAAAGGAATTTGGCAATAATTCTTCTCTTTCTATATTGTAAAATAAAGTTCTGGTAGAATTCTGCATTGAAACCATCTGGTCCTGGGCTTTTTTTCGAAGGGAGATTTTTGATAACCGTTTCTAATTCTTTGCGACTAACAGGTCTATTTAGATCGTTCACCTGGTCTTGGTTTAACTTTGGTGTATGGTACTTATCTAAAAAAATGTTCATTTCTTTTGCATTTTCCAGCTTTGTGGCATACAGGCTTTTGTATAAGATCTAATGATTCTCTGAATTTCCTCTTTGTCTGTGGTTATGTCCCCCTTTTCATTTCTGATCTTATTTATTTGCGTGTTCTCTCTCTGTCATTTAATTAGTTTGGATAGGGGTTTGTTGATCTTGTTGATTTTCTCCAAGAACCAACTTTCTGTTTCATTGATTCTTTGGACTGTTTTCTGTGTTTTTATTTCGTTGACTTCAGCCCTCAGTTTGATTATTTCCAGTCTTCTACTAGTCCTGGGTACATCTGCTTCTTTTTTTTCGAGAGCTTTCAGGTGTGCTGTTAAATCCCCAATGTATGCTTTCTCCGTTTTCTTTAAGTGGGCACTTAGTGCTATGAACTTTCCTCTTAGCACTGCTTTCATCGTGTCCCATAGGTTTGAGTATGTCATCCCTTTATTTTCATTAAATTAAAGGAAGACTTTAATTTCTTAATTTCTTCCTTGACCCAGGTGTGGTTCAGTAGTTGACTGTTCAGTTTCCATGAGTTTGTTGGCTTTCTGGGGGTAGCATTATTGTTGCCTTCTAGCTTTAATCTGTGGTGATCTGATAAGACACAGGTGGACACTGATATTTTTTGTATCTGTGGAGGTTTCCTTTGTTACCGAGTATGTGGTCACTTTTCGAGAAGGTTCCATGAGCTGCAGAGAAGAAGGTATATTCTTTCCTATTTGGGCAGAGTGTTCTATAGATGCCTGTTAAGTCCATTTGCTTCATTACCTCCAATAATTCTCTTAATTCTCTATTAGGTTTCTGTCTGATTGACCTGTCCATTGGTGAGAGAGGTGTGTTGAAGTCTCCTACTACTAGTGTGTGTGGTTTGATGTCTGCCTTGAGTTCTAGTAATATTTCTTTTACATAAGTGGGAGCTTTTATATTAGGGGCATAGATATTCAGGATTGAGACTTCATCCTGATGACCTGTTCCTGTTATGAGTATAAAGTGTCCATCTCGATCTCTTCTGATTGATTTTAGTTTGAAGTCAGTTTTGTTAGAAATTAGTATGGCCCCACCTGCTTGTTTCTTAGGACCATTTGCTTGAAACACCTTTTCCCAACCCTTTACTCTGAGTAGATGCCTGTCTTTGTGGTTGAGATGTGTTTCTTCCAAACAGCAGAATGTTGGATCCTGTTTTCGTATCCAATCTCTTAACCTGTGCCTTTTTGTAGGTGAATTGAGTCCATTAATATTAAGTGATATTAATTACCAGTGGTTGTTTACTATGGTTATTCTTATTGTTTTTGGTAGTAGAGATTGTGTGTCTCCCTTCTTTGCGTTGTGCTGGTGAAGGGTCGCTAGATGCCTGAGTTATTGTAGGCAGTGTTGGCAATGTTGGATTCCTTGGGTTGTGATTTTCCTTCTATTACTTTCTGTAGGGCTGGATTTGTGGCTACGTTTTGTTTAAATTTGTTCTTATCCTGGAATGTTTTGTTTTCTCCATTGATAGTGAACGATAGCTTGGCTGGGTATAGTAGTTTGGGCTTGCATCCATGGTCTCTTAGTTTCTGCAGTACCTCTATCCAGGACCTTCTGGTTTTCATAGAAAGAAGTCAGGTGTAAGACTGATTGGTTTACCTTTATAAGTTACTTGGCCTTTTTCCTTTGCAGCTCTTAATATTCTTTCTTTAATCTGTATATTTTGTGTTTTGATTATTATATGGCGAGGGGATTTTTTTTTTTTGATCCAGTCTATTTGGTGTTCTGTATGCTTCTTGAATATTCAAAGGAATATCTTTCTTTATGTTGGGAACGTTTTCTTCCATAATTTTGTTAAAAATATTTTCTGGGCCTTTGAGCTGTGCCTCTTCTCTTTCTTCTATCCCTATTATTCTTAGGTTTGGTCTTTTTATTGTGTCCCATATTTCCTGAATGTTTTTTTTTTAAAGTTTAAGTTCCATTTTATTTTTCCAAGGTGTTTTCTTCTGTCTTTATGAAGCCACTTCACATGGGTTTTGGTGCAGGTCGTGGTGCAGCACCAGCAGGTCTAAATCGTGGTGGGGGTGTTCGGTCCTTCCGAGCTTCCCGGGATCGATTCCTGACTACCTTGCTATGAATAGCACAGCTCACACAGTAATGCAGCTTGACATAGAGTTTGGGGAGCACATAGGCATTGAAGACACTTGCTTCGGATATATCCCTGACGGCAGCCGCCTCTACGATGTTCCGAATGACGAACTTCTTAATGGCCTTGTCCTTGGGCACACAGCGGGCGCAGTTAGTGCAGCGAATTGGCTGCACATGGCCGCGGCCCTTTTTGGCACGACCGTTATTTCTCCTTTTTTTGGTCATCTTGCAGCCAAGTCCCGAAAGAGGCTCCTGGATGTTTTGTGATGAGATTTTGTTGGCTTTGCTGTTTTCTTTGATCAGTGCATTTATTTTCTTGATGGTGTACTCAGAATCTGAGATTCTTTCTTCTATCTCTTCTATTCTATTGATTATGCTTGTTTCTGTAGTCTCTGCTCGTTGACCTAGATTTTCCATATCCAGCCAGTCCTCAGTTTGTGTTTTCTTACTTGCTTCCATTTCAGTTTTCAATTCTTGAACTGTTTTCATTACCTGTTTGATCGCTTTTTCTTGGTTTCCCAGGGTATCATATACATATTTACTCATTTCTTCAAACTTTTTGTTATACTTCTCATCCATTTCTATAAGGGCATTTTTTTACATGTTGGTTAAAGGCACTCTATTGCTTTCATAAAGTCAATTTTTTCCACTTCTTCTATGTAGGGTGTTCAAGTCCTTCTGTTGTAAGATCATTGGGTTCTGGTGTTTTCATGTTGTTTTTCAGATTGTTGGGTGAATTCTTGCCTTGGCGCCTGTCCATCTCATCCTACTGATGCTATCTAATGGGTCTTCTAAAACAGGATCAGGTTTCCCTGCTGGCCAGGGGCCCCGCTTACAAAATGCCCCCGCTCTGTTTCCTGGCTCCCACGCTGGCCAAGGTCCCTCTCACAACTCAGAATGGTCTTCAGAACAGGAACAGGCTCCCTGTTCGCCAGGGATCTCGCCAACAAAAGGCCTATCACTCTGCAGGCCAGCCACCAAAACAAAGAAATTCCCTCTGCCCTCTGCCCCGAGCACCTGATCCAGTGCCCAAACAGGCTGAACTGGGTGATCCCGCGACCCGTGGAAGGGATGAAGAAGGAAGGAAGCCCCTGGGCGCAAGCTGGGATGGGCCAGGGATAGAGAGGTTGCAGCAGAGGGGGAGCAGCCCTCGCAGACTGACCGGGGAGTCAAGGGGGTCGGCGAATGCCCCCCGCTCAGTTTCCTTGGTCCCGCCATGGGCCAAGAACACTCTCACCACTCAGGAGGGTCTTCAGGGACAGGACCAGGCTCCCCGTTTGCCAGGGACCTCGCCAATAAAAGGCATACTACTCTGCAGGCCAGCCGCCACCAAAACCTACTTGGTTTAATTGTAGTAGGACAATCTGCTCTCAGTGTGGGCTTCACTGTTTCATGCTTGGACCATCCTGCATCCGCAGCATCTGCACCGCGGTCTCTCCACCGCATCTGTGCGCCCGCATCTCTCTTGAGTTCTTTATATATTTTGAATATTAGCGTTTTGTCTGATGTGGGGCTGGTGAAGATATTTTCTCATTTTGTAGGCTGCCATTTTGTTCTTTTGACAGTGTCCTTTGTCTTTCAGAAGCTTTTCAATTTCATGAGGTCCCATTGATTGCTATCTTAGTGTCTGTGCAATTGGTATTCTGTTCAGGAAGTTATCTTCTGTGCCAATGTATTCAAGGACGTTCTTCACTTTCTCTTCTGTCAGGTGCAGTGTATCCTGTTTAATGTTGAGGTTTTTGATCCACTTGGACTTGACCCAAAGGACTTTTTTGCATGGGGATATATATGGATCTATTTGCATTCTTCTGCATGCAGAGATCCAGCTATACCAGCACCATTTGTTGAAGATTATTTCTTTTATCCATTGTATAATTTTGACTTTATTGTCAAAAATCAAGTGTCAATGGGTGTATGGATTTAGTGCTGGGTATTTGATTACATTCTGTTGATCAGCCTGTTTGTTTTTATGCCAATACCATGATATTTTTTATTACTATTGTTTTATACTAGAGCTTGAAACCAGGGATGGAGATACCTCTGAAAATTCCTTTATTGTACAGGATTGTTTAAGCTATCCTATTTTTTTTCCCATGTGAAGTTGAGTATTGTTCTTTCAATGTTTGTAAAGAATTGTGTTGAAATTTTGTTGGAAATTGCATTGAATCTGTAGATTGCTTTTTGGTAAGATTGCCATTTTCACTATGCTAATCTTACTGATCCATGAGCATAGGATATCTTCTCTATGTTCTGATATCTATTCCAAATTCTTTCTTAAACGCCTTGAAGTTCTTGTCATAAAGATCTTTCATTTGCTTGGTTAGAGTTCCACCAAGGTATTTTAGATTGCTTGTGACTATTGTGAAGGCTGTTGTTCCTCTGATTTCTTTCTCAGCCCATTTATCATTTTTATATAAGATTGTATGTGTGTAGGCTGAAAATTTTTGGGAGGGGCACTTATTTTTGCTATCATATCATTTGCAAATAGAGATACGTGGACTTCCTTCTTTCCATTCTGCATCCCCTTGATCTCCTTTAGTTGTCTTGTTGCTCTAGCTACAACCTCAAGTACTGTATTGAATAAGTATGGAGAGAGTGAACAGTTTTGTTTTGTCTCTGATTTTAGTGGAGTTACTTTAAGTTTTTCTCTATTTAATTTGATGTTGATTACAATAGGCTTGTTGTATATTGCTTTTATTATATTTAGGAATGCCCTTTGTATCCTTGATCTCTCTAAGACTTTTATCATGAAGGGGCGCTGGATTTTATCAAAGACTTTTTCAGCATCTAATAAGATGATCAAATATTTTCTTTTTCTTTCAGTTTATTTATATGTGAATTACACTGACAGATGTTGAACCATCCTTGCATTTTTGGGATAAAGCCTAGTTGATCATGGTGGATTACCTTTTTTGATATATTCTTGGATTCAATTTGCCAGTATTTTATTGAATATTTTTTTATCAATATTTACGAGGGAAATTGGTCTGTAATTCTCTTTCTTTGTTGAGTCTTTATGTGGTTTGGGTATCAGGGTGATTGTGCCATCATACAATGAATTTGGCAATGTTTCTTCTGTTTTTATTTAGTGAAATAATTTGAGGAGTATTAGTATTAGCTCTTCTTTGAAAGTCTGGTAGAATTCTGCACTAAAATCATCTGGCCCTGGCTTAAATTTTTTTTTAATTTCTTTTTTTTTTTTGGTTGGGAGACTTTTAATGACTGCCTTTTTCTTTAGGGATTATAGATTTATTTAAATTGTTTATCTGATTTTGAATTAATTTTTGTAAGTGGTACCTACAAAGAAAACTGTCCATTTCTTTTAGATTTTCTAATATGGTGGAATACAGGTTTCTAAAGTATGAACTAATGATTCTTTGGATATTCTTTATGCCAGTTGTTATGCCTCTCCTCCTGTTTCTGATTTTGTTAATTTGGATATTCTCTCTCTGCCGTTTAGTTAGTTTTGATAAGGGTTTGTCTATCTTGTTGATTTCCTCAAAGAACTGACTTTTTGTTTCATTGATTCTTTATATTGTTCTTTTTGTTTCTATTTTACTGATTTCAACCCTCAGTTTGATTATTTCTTGCCACCTACTCTTGTGTGTTTGCTTCTTTTTGTTCTAGAGCCTCCAGGGGTGCTGTTACATTGCGAATATGAGATAGCTTCACCTCCTCATGAAAGCATTTAGTGCTGTGAACTTTCCTCTTAGCACTGCTTTCATAGTGTCCCATATGTTTGGGTATGCTGCGGATTCATTTTCACTCAATCCTAGGACGTCTTTAATTTCTCTCTTTATTTCTTCCTTGACCCAGTGATCATTTAGTAGATAGTTGTTCAGTTTCCATCAGTTTGTAGGTTTTCCTGTTGTTTCTGTTGTTGCTAAAATCCAGTGTTGATCCATGGTGGTCTGATAAGATGTACAGGGAGTGGTTCCAATTTTCTTCTATCTGTTGAGACTTGCTTTGCAATCAAGTATGTGATCAATTTTGGAGAAGGTTCTATGAGGTTCTGAGAAGAATGTGAATTCTTTTGTGTTTGGGTGATATGTTCTGTAGATGTCTATTAGATCCATTTGAGTCATAACATGTTAGTTCCACTATTTCTCTGTTTAATTTCTGTCTGGATGACCTGTCCATTGGTGAGAGTGGGATGTTAAAGTCTCCCACTATTATTGAGTGAGATTCAATGTGTAATTTAAGCTTCAGCATTTTTTTTATATAAATGTGGGTACCTTTATGTTTGGGGCATAGATATTCAGAATCGAGACATCATCTTGGTATATTTTTCCTTTGATGACTATAAAGTGTCCTTCCCCATCTCATTTATTAATTTTGGTTGGACATCTATTTTGTTAAATGACTGTACCAGCTTGCATCTTAGAGCCATTTGCTTGGAAAAATCTTTTTCCATCCATTTATTCTGAAGTAATGTCTATCCTTGATGTTTCTTGGATATAGAAAAATGATGTATCCTGTTTTTAAATCCATTCTTTAGCTGGTGTCTTTTTACTGGGGAATTGAATCTATTGATATTGAGAGATATTAATGATGATTCTCAATTCCTGTTATTTTGATGCTATTGTTGTTGTTGTTGTTGGTGTGTGTGTGTGTGTGTGTGTGTGTGTGCGTGGATGTACATTTGTGAGTGTGTGATTGGTTGTATTCATCTTGGGGCATATGACATGGTGCATCCTTATGATCTTAACCACATTTTTTAATCACCAATGACTTTGCCTATCTTTATATGTACTTATTGGCATTTATAGATTTTTATTTGGAAAAGTGAATATAACACTCCTGTATGGAGACTTTAATTGGAGTGTTTGTATCATTGAATTGTAATTGTTATTGTATTTTTGATATAAGCACTTTGATTTGAAAATAGTTTTTTCCACTATTATGTCGGTAGCATTTTCACTTTCTTGATAATTTCTGTTTAATTTTTTATTTTATTTATTGATTTAATTCTGTAGTCTGGCATATAAAGTGGTGGATTCCATCATGGTATCTTTATACACACATGGCATTGAACTCTGTTTTCATTTGTTCCTGTCCTCCACTGCCCTCCATTATTTAAATTTTTTGTTGCTTTTTTGAGACAGGGTTTCTTTATGTAGCTCTGACTGTCCTGGAGCTAACTCTGTAGGCCAGGCTGTCCTAGAGCTCACAAAGATGAATCACTTCTGCTTCCTGAATGGTGGGATTAAAGGCATGTACCACTACCACACGGCTATTTTTTTTAAAAAAAA